TATTTCAGTTTTAGTGAGTTTAACATTAAGTTAAAGTAAATTAAACAGAGAAATGTTGCTTTTTGCAACTAGCTGATATATATACTGTATATATATTTTTTTTCTTTTTCCCAGTTAATGTTTATCTTATTTCGAGTAACGAAAATATTTTTTTAATGGTTTTAATTTTAGTTAACTGTAATACCCATGACTTGTATCACTGTTCAGACGTAACTGTTGTAAGTGTGTTTGGTCTCCAGGTGGTGGCGCTGCAGACTAAACCATTCACCACCCACATGTACCTTGTGTTCTGACTATTTCTCTCACACCATGGAAAAATCCTCTGTACTTTGGGTTCGCTGAGGTCTGATCGTGGATGAATTTGACCTGAAATTGAAGGAAAACATATTATATTCATATCAGTGTTAATTCAACCAGAAATCACTTCACACTGGTTATACTTCGCATGTAATTCACAGATATGTATGCAATGCATTAAAAGCTGCAATATAAGCCGAATGCCTCCTGAGTGTTTGTTAATGCATATTCTTGTCTGATGGTTTACTTACATCACTGGTAAAGCAACTGTACTACTTTTTGTATTAGTGTGGAATTTCTTATAGTGCGTCTAGACAGCAAGTGAGCAATGCAACGTGACTAAAGTCAAATGTTGCATTGCTCACTCTCAGTGTAGATCTTAAGCACTAGGCCTCTAACTATCAATGCATGCTAAAAGCATCAGCATATCATGTCGCACACCTTTACAGTCTCCATAGGACACACCACGACTATAGCCTCGGCCACTCCTGCGCCCAGACCGCAGATCAGCCCCTGCGTGCTGTCCAGCTTCCCAGACTCATCCCTCATCTTATTACTGAGGAATTCAAACATCCCGAACCTGCAGAGAAACAAACTCATGACAGCCGGAACACTAACACATCTCCTGTTTCAAATGAAAAGACAAAGCATCTTTCTCATTTACTCTGCAGAACTTTGTTTATGATAAGAGAACTGAATAAACAAAAAATGAAATAATAAATGACCATATATAAACAAACAATAATTAGATATCTATATCTATCTATCTACTGCATTTTGAATACGTTTTTTATTGTTTCTGTTTTCATGCCAATTTTTGTTAAAGTTTTAGTAGTTCTGTCGTGTGTTTTTGTTTGATTAGTTTTTAATATAATTTATACATTTTATTTCAGTTTTAGTTTTAGTTATTTTAATACATCAAGTTGAAAATTATACATTTTGGCAACCAACTGAAATAAAAAAATCTATCTATCTATCTATCTGTCTGTCTGTCTGTCTGTCTGTC